CTATGTGCCCCTCTTCATACGTATGTGCCCCCCTCCCCCCAACTTTCAAATTTCTTAAATATTTGTTGCTGCTATGTGCCTCATTTGATACGTATTTTTCGATTTTTCTGATTTTCAAAAGGTTTTATCCTTGGGTGATAACAAACACTCATGCCAAGTTTGGTCAAAATCCGTCAAGAATTGTCCCTTCTAGAGTGTTTACAAGATAAAATTTTAACGCGTTTTCAAGAACAAGGGCAATAACTCATACTAAATATTTTTCAATTTTTCTGTTTTTCAATATGGTTTATCCATGGGTGATAACCAACACTCGTGCCAAGTTTCGTCACAATCCGTCAAGAATTGTGCCTTCTAGAGTGTTTACGAACTAACAATTGAACGCGTTTTCAAGAAAATGGGCAATAACTAATACTCAATATTTTTCAATTTTTCTGATTTTCGATAGGGTTTATCCTTGGGTGATTACAAACACTCACACCAAGTTTCGTCAAAATCCATCAAGAATTATGCCTTCTAGAGTGTTTACAGGCTAAAATTGAACGCGTTTTCAAGAACAAGCGCAATAACTCATACTAAATATTTTTCAATTTTTCTGATTTTCGATAGGGTTTATCCTTGGGAGATTACAAACACTCACACCAAGTTTCGTCAAAATCCATCAAGAATTATGCCTTCTAGAGTGTTTACAAGCTAAAATTGAACGCGTTTTCAAGAACAAGGGCAATAACTCATACTAAATATTTTTCAATTTTTCTGATTTTCGATAGGGTTTATCCTTGGGCGAAAACGGACACTCACACCAAGTTTCATCCAAATCCGTCATGAATTGCACCTTCTAGAGTGTTTACGACATTTCAAGAACAAGGGCAATAACTCATAGTAAATATTTTTCGATTCGTCTGATTTTCAATAGGGTTCATCCTTGGGTGATTACAAACAACCATATCAAGTTTCATCGAAATCAGTCAGGAATTGTGCCTTGTAGAGTGTTTACGAGTAATTGTGGACAAACGGACGGATGGAATGAGGTGACGGCAATATACCCACCCATTTCATGTGGGCGTATACAAATTGTGATAGAAAAATTGTTTTTACCCACATTTGTACCCCAACTCAATTTCCAAGCAATATGAATTTTAT